ACCCCGAAGAACTGTTCTAAGGAGCAAAGGAAAAGAAAACTCTGGATGTGAATTTACTTCTCAGGAACACACACAATTACGATATGACTAAGTTACCGTGCTCTGTACTGTTACACAGCACGGCTGTTTATAGTTCCCAGAAGGAGAAGAGAGCTACTTCCTATCCCTGGCATTAGGGGAGTCCTTGTGGACTACAAAGAAGAAAACCCATCGGGGAAGGCAGGGACAGCTGTGAAGGCTGAGCTGGTGCACATGTTGGTTCCATCTCAGAGCTTATGCGGATATTTCAGTTCAGGAAACCCCACCTGAGATGCTTATGCTGCAGAAAATCAATATGAAGAGAGTTATGAAATTCCTCTTTATTACCCTCAGGAACTTATGTCTTCTGTAGATTCCATGCGTTTGAATTCCTGTATCTTGATGATTCTTTCATTGTTTTAATTTAGTAGGGGCGCCCTGCTAAACACAAAACAGCATACAACTATTCACACAGAGAATAAAGTATTATTTTCTCTGGGGTGACATACTTGGTCATCAGGCAAGACATTAGAGCAGTTATTCAAAATCACCTTAAATAAGGATTTTTCAAGTATTGGAATATGATGTGATTGAAAATATAAATGTGATTAAAGAACAAAATATCCATCAGAACAGAGAGAAAGACACAGTTGGGTATAAAAGCCAAGAAAAGGGGCTCAGAGGCAACTGATAACAGGATGAATGCACGTTCTGCCTAGCTGAGAAGATGTCACCGAGGTGTTCTGGGCTCTGCCTCCTACAGTGAGGCCTTTTCTATTATGGAACCTGGACGTGAGGCTCTGCTAGCACAAATACCCCGTCCCTTCCAGCACCTTCATCCTTGCCCCATGATTACACGTCATATAGCCACAGTATTGTATTTCTTTGTCAAAAATAAAAGGGTCCATAAAATATTAGTCATCATGTGGAGAACAGGTACACCTGTAATCCAGAAGGTCCACACTATCTTCATTAAGAGAATGTCCAAAGCCTTTCAGAAATGTGGAGTTTGAACTTTACCCGTGACCTACTGGGCCATAGATAAAAGACTCCTGTCTAACCTTTGGAAAGAAGGACAAGCTCTACAGAAAAGATAATTCCAGCCCATTAGTGAGGGTTTGTGACCTGATTATAGGCACTGGCCCTCCTTAGAACCTCAGGTCTAAGTAAACAGATTTCTATCTCAGGAGTTAACAATTTACACAGCACCTCTGTCCTATCCACGGAGCCGGCTGTGGGGCCTGCAACACAGCAGCCTCAGCAAGAGCTAATTAAATTAATAAGCCTTGAACAAATTGCTGGAGGGCCCATCTACCACAAGAAATGTAATTATATCTATATGATAAACTCACAGTGAGATCCGAACGATCTGCTTGGTGTAAAAATCTTACTGCCCAATTGGCAAATAGTAAACCCTTACATATGTTAAAATAAATCCGTCACAATTGGTGATATAATAATTTAAGAAGAATAAGAAACATGATCTGAATTGTTTCCATTTCTCCCACATTTTCTGCTTGATGGTAATTTCAATAAAGGCACAGTTGAAAGTGTATTTTGAAAAGTGTCAAAAGAAAGAAACATAAGGTTGTTTTCTTATGTTAACAGAATATTTTGCTAAAAAGTTAGAAGTCTGATGAGAATGCATGCCTCTGATCTTGCTTCCTTAAGGATGCTGACTGCTAAAAACTGTATTGGTTTGTTTTCACATAATATAATCTTAAAGACAAACTTATGTTCCTTTTCTTCATTTATTTTACAAGGTTGAGACTGCAGAGGGTTTAGTTAGTGTTCTTTATTGGCAGTGAATGTGATTTTCCAAACTATATAACTATCAAAATATTAGCCATTATTGTTAATATCATGAGCAGTTTTTCTTTTAATCTAATACTAGATGAAGCAATTGTGCATTGTTACTGCAGAATCAAACTTCTATAGACCAGGAGATCCCTGAAATAAAAAGATTTGTGGAGCTATAACAAATTCTAGCCGGGAAGAAAGAACCAGAGCTGGACAAATTCCCCAAGCCACCAGCATGGCAAGGCAGCATCTGCAAAGACACTTACTGAACGTACGAAGCCCCATTATCTTATCCTGAAAACTTAGGGAAAAGAAAGCATTAGTCACTTACATTGAACGTACATGGACTAGAGGGAGGAGGAACGGACCACGAGAAGTAGGGCAAGTTTGAGGGTAGGAGCAGGACATTTAAGCAAGATTACTTGTGTTCCTCTAATTGGTTGGAGTGTAGGCAAAATGCAGTTACACTGATGGTCGTTCTCCTGGGGTCCCAGTCAAGGATTTCACCAGGGGCTTAGGGAATGGGGCAGGTTTTGCTTGTTACCATTTGGTTGGTTTGGTCCAAAGCTGTTGGCAGAATTGATTCCCAATCAGTATTCTCTCTTGCTTGTAAGTAAATTTAGGACATGTCATTTTTCTGTCTTATCAGTGAATATATATATATGAAATTTCAGTTCTGCGTACTTGTTCTGTACTTGGTCGTACTGCGAATGTGAAGTTCAGTGTACTGTACTCTTGATTATCTTTACTGTCATGGCACTGGGTGATACTCATCAGCTCCAGCATAGTTATCACCCTTGAAATCTGCAGAGTTGGGATGCTTTCTGATATTAAACGTCCTCACCTTTGCACTACCGCACTATCCCTGTAGCTTATTATTTGCTCCTCGTCTTTGCCTTAGTAACTCTATCTCCTGGACTCAGTTTAAAGCAATTTAAGACAATAGCGAACAAGGGCTGGGGATTTAGTTCAATGGCAAAGCGCCTGCCTGGCAAGTGCAAGGTCATGAGTTCGATTCCTGGTACCGGAAGAAAAACAAAACAAAACAAGACAACAGTGAACAATGTCAGTTCCTTTCCTAAATCCTGCCCACCCACCCCCCCGCTACCGCTGCTATTTACAATGTAAGTTTCTTTCGGAGTAGGCACCGCACTGTTGATCTGTGCTGTCAGTCACCTCACACCTACTGCTGTCTCAGCTCCTTGCCATGCCACCCCTCTCCTGCCTTAGCCTGAAACTCTCTGCCCCAACATTTGCTAAGTTCAGTTCCTCATCTGATTGGGGTTTTACACGCCTGTCATCCTGCACTGTTTCTGATGACTCTGTTACACGTTATACCCCTTCCCACCCTCTCTATTCCACAAGGGTGTTTCAAGTCTGTCTCCCCCACACACATAAACCACCACCAGTACAACCAGACTGGAAGCATCCTAAGGTGAAGTCCTTGATGCCTGGCAATCAGTCAGCGTTCAATAAACATTTACTGAATGAGTGAGTTGAAGATGCCTGTGAAGTCATGTAACTCCATGGTTTCACCACAACTGTCACGTTTCTATTATCCCGAACATGCTGTGCTCTCTTGTGCCAGGATGTCATCCATCCATGCTTTGTATAAAAGTTATCCTTGCCTTGCCATTAACCTGAAAGCTATTCACTTATTCACAAATGTTCACACATCTCTGTTGTGTCAGGCAAGGTGCGGGGCACTGAAGATAAGGTAGTTTCTAGGACAGAGCCGCTGCCTTCAGGAGCCGGTACTCTGTCAGGGAGGCGAATAGACTTGCACACGTAAAGGGCTTTTCAAAACAGCTCTTTGTAAACGTTGATGCTTACCATACAGGAAAGCAAGTGAGGGCACAGAGAGAACTGGGGAACAAGGAGCAGTGCAATTTGCAGGGACTCGGGAGGGAGAGTGAAGACGCTGGCGCTAAGATCTGAACGCGCAGGAAGAAGCAATCCTGAGAGGAAGAAAGCAGACCTGTGGCACAGGAAACGGAGATGGCTTTGCAGAAGTCCTGGGGCAGCAACACTTCTGTTTAGATGGGAGGAGCCCACAGGACAGCCTCCCAGAGCCAGGGCTGAAGAGAGAGAGCAGCACACGAAGGCCAGGACAGATTGGCAAGCCCAGAAACCTGCAGCTCCTGAGCATCACAGCTGGTGTTTTGTCCAAGGGAAACAGAACCCACTGAAGGGCTGCAAGCACTCAATTGGTTATTGAGACTTTCTTCAGTTCACTACAGCACTAAATTAAGTCCGTTACAACAAAATGCTGAGTTCTATGGGAATGTTTTGGAGCTGTGAGAGTAGAAACAGGGAAGCCAATTGACGCTATGTGGTGGTCCTGCTCAGAAAGGCTGAGCTGGAGAAGGAGAGTTGGAGCAAAGAAGCAGCTGCAGTAGAGATGGTGCTGTGGGTGCTTAGATCTTGGAGGTGAGGGTGTTCGAAGATCTGCTCCATAGTTTGCTTTGTGCTCTGTCCATGATACTGCCTTCAGCTGAAACACAGAAGTATAGGGAAGGGCAGGCTTTCAGCCTGGAGTAAGTCTCATGACCCCTAGACTGGCATAAACCTTTCCACATTCTGATGTTTCATCTTGTACATTATAATGTTTATTACACAACAGTGCAATAACCTGCTTGCTTTTCTGTCTGCCAGGCAACAATCTCTTTGAAGATAGACCCTATCTTTTCATGCTTACATAAGCAGATACAGAACACCATCTACATAGGAGACAAACAATCATTGTTTGAATAAATAAGTGAATGTAGGAAGAGCTAAGAGAACAGGCAGGGGTCACAGTTCTCCTATCATATCCCAACAGTAGAGGTTTCCAACAGTCAAGTGTCACTTCATTCTAGAGAAGATGCGTACATTCTGATCAGAAACTTCCAAGGCTAGTACACTTTGTACTAAAACCCTAACCTGCTTTAAATTGTCAAGTTGCTCAAAGCCAGTGTGGCAAGTATTTTATTCTATTCTGCATCAAGATCTTTAGAAAAAGATCAAATTTCTACTTTTCTTAGTCCTTGAGTTGCAAGTTGATACGATATTTTATTATCAATAAAAAGCTAGAGAATACCTTCTGAAGACATAGGAGCACCCTTGTATGACTTTTGATGTTAACCTTTATGCAAATTTTGGATGATCTTTTCAAGATTCATTTTTCATTTGATTTTTTAAAGGATGTTTGATGTGGGTGGACAGAGGTCAGAGAGGAAGAAATGGATTCACTGCTTCGAAGGAGTCACGTGTATTATATTCTGCGCTGCACTCAGTGCCTATGACATGGTCCTAGTAGAAGACGAAGAAGTGGTAAGTCCAACAGTAACACCAGACCAAGGTAAAAACCAAACATGTGTGCTGTCCAAGAGCTCTACCGCTTTCACCAACGCAGTGAAGGCCTTCCAAAGATGGGTGGGCTTTCCAGTGCTTGTTTATGACGTCCAGGTCTGATGTTGCGTGAATACTCGTTCTAAACGCTCTCGTCTTTTCTACCTACCAGAACAGAATGCACGAAAGTCTTCACCTGTTCAACAGCATCTGTAACCACAAGTACTTTGCATCCACTTCCATTGTCCTCTTTCTCAACAAAAAAGATCTCTTTCAAGAAAAAGTGAACAAGGTGCATCTCAGCATCTGCTTTCCAGAATACACTGGTGAGAGTCTTTCGATTCTGTAATAATAAATTGTTATCAAAACATACAGCTTCGTATCTGCATCTGACCTTACTATTTGTAGGAATGCGAATCCCCAGGGAACAGATGAAATCGCTTACAGAGTTGAGAGTTGCTCCTCTAAATAAGGCATCAAGCGACATTACAAACTATATGACCTCTGACATGGTCATAGGGATGCAACTTTTATTTCAGATAGGCACTTTTAATGTACAGCCCAGTGAAAATTTATAATGCTGTGTTACATCTCAGGGTCTTTTCAGTGTCTGAAGGGCTGCAGAAGGACAGCATGAATGAGTCCAGGAGCGGCACTGCTGTCACTGCTTTGTCTCCTTTCCCTGGGGCCCAGAATCTTAGTGCCAGTTCTGTTAGGCAGTGAGAATAGGTCAAGTTCCGTAGACGTGCTGGTTTTCCTTCAGTGACAAAGGTTTGTTCATACATAATTGGATGCTCTGCTGTTAAAGAAATGATATAAGATGAAGATATGCATGATTTCAGCAAAACTGTATCTCCAACCTCACCTTTTATCTGTAGGGATAGCCCAGAGGTACAAGGAACATGACATATTATCAAAAATAGATATTTATGCTGGTTAATCTACAACTAGTGCTTGTGTCATTATGTAATTATAGATTTATTTATATGTTCACACATTTATCATGTGGTTCAGTACAAGCATGATTCTAAATTTGATTTTATAAACTAAGTATAGACATAAGTAACATATATAAACAAATCTATATCTATTTAAAAGTAGAGTTTCTTAGAGAAGCTTTCGGTTTGGGAAGAAATGAACTTTCAGAACAGGAAGTACAGGGAATTCCCATTCTTCTGCTCCCGTCCTTCCTCGCCGCCTCCTCTGTCATGAACATCTTGCACTAGCGGGCTGTGATTGATGAGTTGACATCAGTGCATTATCAACTCCAGTCCAAAGTTAATCAAGGTTCGCCCTCTGTGTTGCGCATTCTGTGTGTTCTGCCAGGTATAGACCATATATCCGCCTAGGTTGATCAGTTTTCTGTCATTATACCAGATATTGGAGACACCGCAATTTGTAAAGAGAAAGGGGTTTTGCTCAAGGTTTGAGGACTTTCAGTCATGGTCGTTGGCCTTGCTGCTCTTGGGCTGGTGGCAAGGAACCCATCATGGAGAGAGAGGGTGGTGGTGGAGACGGTTCACCCCACGGCAGCGGAAGTAAAGGAGAAACCAGGAGGAAGCAGGTCCCGCAGTCCTCTCTGGGGACGTCCTCGATGCCCAGAAGACCTCTTAGAATTTCCTCCCACGGGCACCAAGCTGGGTGCTGAATCTTTAGCACACGGGCCTTCGGGGAGGTTTCAGATCCAAGCGAGAGCAGCGTGAGAGTGCTGACAGGCAGGCAGCTGCCCTGGACCCCGTGCATTTATGCTTTCTCCTCGCTTCACGTCCCTGGTGACCCCTGGTCTTTCCATTGTACAGCTCGGCTACAATCCGCAGCCACGTGGCTGCCATCCCTAGCACACATGTAGCCTTTTCTGACCGGCTTTTTTTCTCTTCCACTTAAGTTTCCTATGTTCTTTTTCTTGTCTTTTCTTTTTTGGTGAATGGGTAGCTCATTTCTTTTTATCTCTGAATATTACATGCCATAAACCAACTACAGTTTGGCTATCTTTTCACCTACTGAGAGACATCTTGGTTACTTCCGCTTTTTGGCAATGATACTTAAAAGCTGCTGTAAACATCCATGTGCAGGCTTTCGTGTGGACATAGTTTCCAGGCAAATACCTGGTAGCATGGTCTCTGGACTGCACGGTAAGACCGTGGTTTACTGAGAGGGAGCTGCAAAGCTGCCTTCCAGAATGACAGCTCCATGCCGCCACCCCAAGAGCAATAAATGAGAGTTCCTATGATTCCACACTCTGGGATGTCAGACTTCTCCAGTGTTTTGGACTTTAGCCATGTTATGCTTTTGCTTTTACATGTTAATATTTCTTCAGGGCTGGGGATTGAAAGCAGGCTGTGTTCATGCTAGGCACATGCTCTACCATGGAACCGCATCTTCAGCCAGTCCTGTTTTGGGGTTTTGAAGACTGTTCCTCATAGGACTTTACTCCTAGTAGCAGTAAAATGAGGGCAAAGAACCTTACCTCCTCGGATAATCTCTGCGCTTGTTTCTATGTCAAGGTCTCATGAAGCATATTCTCTTATAAAGCCAGTCATTAGGTCACTTTTAGCTGCCCTATATTTGCTAGCCTACCTGTTTATTTCTTCTTTTTCTCAGCTGGACTCCTGTACGTTCTGCCACTGAGCTTTCTCAGGCACACTTATCATCAGGTTACGGCTCTACTGAATCCTCAGTCAGGAACCTCGCTGCCTGCCCACTCGGCTCCTCTGTTCGGTCGATATCACGGCCGATTATCTGCCCAATTTCATCTCTTCTACTTGATTCCTACAGTTCCTCTGCAGTAGTCATTCGTTTCCACCTGGCCGGCCCCTCCCATCCCAGTGAGATCCAGTCTCCCTTGCTGGTTTTGGCTGTCGGTTATACTTTTTGCCCTCTTTCTTCTAAATTGTATCTCCGCGTCCAGCTTAAACACTGCCTCCTCCCGCCATCTCACCGTTCAGTGTGTCCATTCTTCCTCTTTCTGTTGTATTATCTACATGCACACCCACAGGGACACAGACAAACAAGACCTGATGTGCGTGTGGACGTGTCTTACTCCCTTGATGTGTAAATCCGCGGTATATCTCCGTATTAGGAGCTGTCTGACACAGAGGAGAATTTTAGCCCCCAAGCCCCAGAGGAGTGTGCATGACTTCCCACATAAGTCCCTGACAACTGACCCCTGCCCCTTGACTCTGCAATAGTTGGTATTTTAAATCACAGTATGCAAAGTAAAATCCCCAAACTTACTAATAATGTTTATAGTTCCACTGTTTTGTAGCATGCAGTTAACGTTTGCTCCTTTAAAACTTTGTTGACAAGGCCCAAACACCTTTGAAGATGCAAGCAGCTACATCAAGAACCAGTTTCTGGACCTGAATTTGAAGAAAGAAGACAAGGAGATTTATTGCCACATGACCTGCGCAACGGACACCCAAAACGTCAAGTTTGTGTTTGACGCAGTTACAGATATAATCATCAAAGAGAACCTGAAAGATTGTGGGCTTTTTTAATTAACCCTTTCCTCTTCCGCTCATATGATCTTTACAAGATAGGAAAGAAGGGTGCTGTAGGATTAGTTTGAATAGATACTAACTTATCTAGAAGCATAACCTGCATTCCAAAGAAAGTCCCCCCCTAAACAATGTTGATGTTATTGTCAGTCCTAGCCAGATAAGCTTCAATTTCTCCATCATGTGGAGCACACTGTCCCTGGTGTCATCAGTGCTAAACACATATATAGGTAACTGTAACAGCAGATGTCAGTGACACCAAATTTTCTTGGCAGTAAACATCTGCAAGTGGGTTATTTTTCATCATAGATTAATGAAAACGCAGAGTATTCCATGTTATTTCCATGAACCAGATTTTAACATTCGATTTTACAGACAATGCAACCAGGCCTGCACTGTACAGGCTGTTCATGTGATCTGAGCGTTGTATTGGTCAACTTAGCTGTTACAAATGGAATATTCACTACACAAATTCCTGCTGAAGGGCAGGCCATGTCCAACATCTGTTAAACTCTGTCCTTAAAAACCTGAAAGACAGACTTCCCCTTAGAGGTAAAAATTTAATGCTGTACATCTTTCCACTGCTTGGTAGAAGACAGGAGGAAGGGTAGAGCGAGGTACGCAATGTCAGGCTCAGGCGACCTGGACCACAGCCTTCAGGGGAGAAGTCGCTCCCCACTTCTTATTCCACAGTGGCGTGAAACATTATTAAGTAGGAATAAGCAAATCAGACATATTTAGAAGATAAATTCAGCTTCTGTATTTGTACTTCATGGTACTTCTAGATATTATAATTTATTCTAGTAGTCAGGCCTACTTTTGCAAAGCTAAATTGTTACTTTATAAACTAACTCATGTTATTTATGGAGATAAAGAAATGATTTGTGTGTGTTTATGTGTGTGCATGCGCAGTGTTTTGTTTTGGTTTTTTTTGTCTCTTTTTTTACAAAGTGTCAACAATTTCCCAAATACACCCTTAAGGCATGGCTGGATATCGTCTTTCCTTCCACCCTCATGATGTGTAATATATAAGTCAGACTACTAGATCAGTGCACACTAGTTGTAATGATTCTTAAGAGAAACTTAATTAGATCTTTTACAAGCTAGGTGAGACGCAGGGAGCCTAAGAAGCAGTTTGCCAATCTCCCGTTCTGGGGATTTTGGCAGCGCTGCCCCTGGGCAGAGCTACTCCCTTGTGTGTAACACATTTCCTTCCTGAGCAGGTAAGAGCGATCAACGCTCAATAATTTTGACTGTAATGCCTGTGGCTCTTTCCCCAAAATTACAAAAAAAGTTTAAAAAATGCAATAAAATGAAGAATAAATTATATTTAAAATTTAATTTTAAATTTTTATGCAGAACATCCATTATTAAAAAGCCGAAGACACCCAGTACAGAAAAGCATTAGGAATCATTGAGCCCAAGCATCCAGTGAAGTCAGATTGCTCAGCAGCAGTCTCTCTAGGGTAACAAGCCAACATTTTGCTAGGGGACATTCAACGCTATGAGATTTTAAATTAAGATTATGCGTACTATGATCTCCTCCACGGATTTTTTTTTTTTTTGTCTTTTTTTGTTTTTTTTTGTTTCGCTATGCACGCTGGCCTTGAGCTCAAATTGTAGCCCAGGCTGGTCTTGAACTCACAAGGATCCTTCTGCCTCAGCCTCCGGAGTGCTGGGATTGCAGGCGTGCG